AATGAACTCTCAAAGTTAGAAGCTGTCTGCAATAAGCTCCCAATGATGAAAGCTGAAGTGCAATGAGCAATACGACAAACCAAAGAGCTCAAACGTCGGATTTTTTTAGGCCAAAGTGTGAAAACGTTAACGTTCTTGTTTTTATATCTTGTTTTTGAAACAAAAACATTTGTGCCCTGCACCTGGTATTGTACTACGAGTTACTGGGTTACCTTGTGTTGCTAAGAGCAGTATAGTGCGGATTGACTATGGGTATCACCTCCACTTTAGTAGTCTAAATATTTTGAACGATAAAAAGTACTGATTCAAGTCTATTACGCTCCTGCGTGCGATCTCATACACTTTGGTTTTCTCATTACAGTCGTCAAAAACTAGCGTACAGGCCTTTAACTATGACATGTACTTTTATTCGAAGAACTCTGTACAGGGATCTGTGTATAGTTGCGTATGGTTGCTTTCTTGGCGACGGAAACTAGATATATGGTTTCCCATGCAGAAATATATTGAAAGTGTTTGATGTGAATGATTAGATATGTATTTTATTGCAGCGACATGGAGTGTGGACGTACACATTAAGGCATCAAAAGTTTTCAACCAAGTTCATACTTGTAAGCAAGTAAATCGTTTGATTGAATCTCTCCTTGCCCTCTATGACGCGCCATACGGAACTTATCTTCATATTACGGGCATTTAAAGCAGCCGCCTGTGGTTTTTATCTTTACCTTTCACACATACCCTGTGGGCTCGCTTAAACTGTCTTGCTATATCTCATTCGATGATAAAATATTGAGATCGATGAGATCGTTTCATTAGGCGTATGACATGGCTTGAGAATCCATGTACTTGCTACTGCAAGCAAAGAAAATCAAGAAGGCGAATCAATAATTGTAGGCAGAAATCTCTGTACAATACTACCTGGTTTGGTCTTTTTCAGGATCCTAATTTAGCTAAAGAATCCATATATAGATTACTCACTATCTACCCATAATGAATACAAAAAGAATGGAGCTCAGAGATCTCCATATTTCATGGAATTGTTCAAATAATCTACTACATATAGTCTACATGAACTCATTTGGTACGAGTGCATTTAATGATTAAAATGAATCCATCTTAACTTGTATGTGGTCTTATTGACATGCATATCGACTTCTTTGGGGTAAACAGTGGAAACCAATGGGTAGAGGGTGACAAGAATGATATGGACAGGTGACTGAACAGGAAATCTGTTGTCGTCGTATTTATTGTGGAGATTTTTATATTACGGAACATGAGTGTCGATTCTTACAGCGATGCAACTTATACGTTGTAAATATTTATGCAACCGATATACTGTAGATGCTTGTTTAGACCTTTTTATCGTGGAAGAGTCGAGTTCCTATTCGAGATATCATACAATATATAGAACTGCTTACGCGGATAGCACAGTTTGTTCACCACATATGGCAGTAACATGATCGATGTCGTAGCTACGTCTCAAGATGTGTCATTATGATGCTGCAAGTCAGGTAGTCCCTATTGACAGAGGATGTGTGCTATCATGATAGTTTCACCCGTATAACACATCACCGGATCTTTTGAAGGCAACGAAATCAATTTCGGCTTACATGGCACTTACAATTCAGCATAGGATTCAGAGCGAATTACTACTGACAACTCAACATACGTCTCACTCTGAGCGATCGTTTTTATCGATAAAGTATTTATGGCTGCAATGGCAGGCTAATGCGTGTATCTGCAAACTAATCTTTCTCTATATATTCCGCATACTCAAAAATGCAGAATGCGGGTTCCAAGACTCTGTGCGCTGTGAATATCGCACTCCTCACGTCCAACGGTTAGAACGCTCACCGAAAGATGAAGTATGACGACATTATTTGATTCGTTCACCACCAGAGAACTAAGTCATAAGGCAATAAATATTAATCTCGGTGTAAAAATTGGTCGGATGACTGATTCAATATGGGCCCCTCCTGTGTTCAGTTAGTTGTGACCTTACTTAGATTAAAAACTGTATGAATCTATGTATGCTACGCCAATGGTAGACATAACCTATTTTAGCCCCATCCAACTGCAGCGAATGGGCCCCCTCACCTCACGTAAAACAACCTTTGAAATATTCTAAACACTAGAATAGGATCTATCTCGACGAACTCCAAGATTCAAAAGGCACTCCCGAATCCCTTCGGGATCCGAATTGCCTTAAAATGTTCTCTAATAAATAGCTCTTGCATACATACAACAGAGATTGTGAAAAATGTAGGAGCTAAGAGATAGTTGCGTGTATTGATACCTGATACTGCTTATGGTTCTGGTGTGACTCTCATGTGCCTTGCATATTGTTCTGTTGCTGCTGTAGTATGATTTTGATATTTGTCGGCTATGGTAATCGTGAATGTTTTTTTTAATCTCTTTGTGTAGTGCATCGACACGGCAGCCGCTCATAGTGCCCTCGTAGGCGCTTTGAATATCAAGATACTCATTCTGGGGTAGACTATTTTTATACCACTTTGTTTTGTTTTAGATCAATGTTGAATAAACGGTTGTTCAAACATATTTCGGTGTGCAATTCCAGATCTTTATTGATATATAGTCTTATTTTCAAACTCATACCTTGAAAATCAAAAAGGTTTAAGTTCTTTGTCGCAACGCGGCGAATAAAATTTCTGTGCCGCTTCGCGCTACTGTTCGATTAAAATCTCCTCACGCACCTTGGGCCGGTTTACCAGACACATGGCTTCATCGAAAGTAGCTTGTTGCACATGGGCTGCATATACTTTTGGCTCCCACAGCTTCACACACCCATGCATCAGCATTGAACATGGTAGTAGTCCACCATTCTGAGCGACGAAACTCGCGCTTGTCATGGCAAATCTCATCCAGTCATTCACACAGCCGTTGCATGTCACGTGCCCATTGCGACACATCAGACTCTCCGTTGCAACATATGGCTCACAGCAAATTCCACACAGTCGAGTACTTTGCAGATCAATAAAAATTGACATAGCTGTCACTTCACACAGTGTTAGACGCTCAGTTGGTCGCTTTCGAGTCATTTGAACAACGAGTGTGGTGACTGCCGTGTCCGTCGCTGCCGTTAAAGTATCAGAAACACTCACACCACTGAATAGATCTTCAGCACCAGGCCGAGTGAATGTATGTCCGCACTCTTGTCAAACCTACTCACCAATCTACTGCGTATCTCGGGTGCTTCGAATTTACGCGTCACTACTACCGCAGTCGTTATAGTGCAGTCTGCGTCGCGCAAATCGTCAATGTCGCCCAGCACAGCCTGTACATAGTAATGCAAATAATAGTAAACACGGCTGCTGTTCTGATCACTGAGTTGATGGGAATGACGAAAACAGGCTTCATTACCAGCAAGTATTGACTACAGTATCATTGGACGAGTATCTCGTGAAATTAAATGCGACAGATCGAATCAGCATGAATCATTGAAAGCTTATAAATATATAAAAATTGTTTATGGAGGCCATATCATCCTACATAAAGAATATGCAGACTTCTCTATCGTGCAAACGAGATATGGCCTAAAAAAACAAGAACTAGCTGCCAACTGGCTCATAATCTCGTATTGCTCACCTCTAACTTGGATGTCAAGAATATGTTCTCGGGATTTAAGTTGCAGTGCACAATGTCACGAGTGTGCAAGCTCTCGACTGCAGCCACGACTTGGTGCGCTATCCGTAGACACAACTTTGGATCTCGCTTTGGGTGGTTCTGCATCCATGCCTCAAGATCACCGCTTTTGTAGTTGTACATGAGTACGTGACCAAAGTGTTCCTCAGTAAATACCCCAATGATGGGCACAATATTGATCGCTCCCCGCAGTCCACCCAGCTTACTACAAGTCTTCATGAAGTGCGAGAAGTGTGAGCTGGTGGTGAGGATGTAGGACTTGACTACTACATGCTTGCCCTCAAAATCGGTGACGAGTCTCACGGATCGATCCTTCTTTTCCGATAGCATCTTCACATGCTGATAATTTTTAATTTTGTCTCCTTTGCGCAACAGCCCCTGTGCCGCACACTTTAGCTCCCACTCCCACGTGAAACAAGCCGTGACACTTGGACTTCTGAGCAGTTCAGGATAGTGTGTGCCTGTATACTGAAGCCAAGCAGTCAATTCGTGCCTAGCAGCCTTCTCTCGATCTCGGGTGTTTCGTTGCCACACTCCGCGATCTTTGCGTAGTGTGGCTTCATTTGTCTCGTTTTCGGCAAGGAGAACACGCGCATCCCATTTCTTCCGTTCGAGGTTGAAGTTGAAATTCCCCTTGTGTTGTTCATGTACTAGCGAGACATCTGGGGCTTTCAGTCCTAGCAAGCATGTTGCTCAGTCAGGCGATCATACGCAAACTCCTGCTCAAGGCTCTGGCGGTAGTAACTTATCACTGTATCCAATGCAGTCTCCAGGGCAGAGAACACGCCTGCAAGTTTGATGCGTTCGGTAAGATACCGTGCACCACCTTCCAGGAAGGTCATCTCTGCGGTCAGTGCGGCTTTGCATGGATCGATGCAGTCCCGCATTGAAATATCAGCTGCAGATTCGTATCCATACTCTCGCAATAACGAACTGGGAAGAGCGTTGCGCGCAATGGTCACTGCCTCATCGCACGCCTTACTTTGAGCTGAGTTAAGACCCAACGCAGTAGCAAAGTTCTCGCCTCTAGCGCACGCGCTGTCACACAGTCTACGCAAACCATCAAAATTTTCCTGCCGAGGCACTTTATCATTCGGCGTTATACGCAGCTTGTTTAGTACCTCAGCTGCACGCACTCTGATAGGCGCACCTGGATCTTTTGGTCGATTCTGCATTGCACTTTCTATCAGTTTTACACACCGCTGTCCCAACTCGTTGCGTTCAGTGATTGTCTCATCTAGCACCGCATCGCCACTACGTACCTGTTCCTGCAGAGTATTCAAGGCTTCGAGCGCCATCTCAGCCTCCTTGACATCCTCTTTCTTGGCCTCGACCGCTGAACAGGTCTGCACATCCCGCAATACAGTACAGCATTCCATAACCAGCTCAACCACCGGTTGGCGTATCTGCCGCATATGAGTTGTATACTTTTAGCATGCGTCTGCATCTGCTAGTATGTGCGAAACAGAGCCTTCTTCGACAGTCGGGATCCTTAACTCCAGCGCCGCCCGGGCCAGTACTAGTGAGTCCTGTTGTGCCTTCTGGAATCACCCAAAGCATCTCGCTATCATCTGCTTGCGCTAATGACATAGAGATAGAACGCATATGTAAACCTACATGCGTAGTTTGTGATATAAATTAGCCCTTTCACAACAACTGCCTCAAAAAACCTTTTATCTTAAGCACTAACCAATTGTATTCAGAGAAGTACAGTGCCAACATACGAAGTCCCTTGTGGCTTGTTAATAAGGGTTTAGCCCGGTGAAGTGAAAATGCAAACCTCGGGCAGGAATAAAAATCAAGTGTGTAGCTACATGGAAATGCCCCCAGAAACATTCCATTGCTAAACATTTTTGGCCATGCCTGTTCAAACGCGACACACAACGGTCGAGAACGTTGGGTTGAATTACTCGAAAGCTACCAGCGAATGCGAAAAATAAGGACCATACTTTCTTCTCCTCAATAGCTTGTATCAGGTACGATTTCATATCATTGTCTCGACACAATTCAAGTGGAGTCTTCCCCATCTATAGTTCATAGACTATACAAAAATATTATAATGAAGATGAATGTCCCGAATGGTACGATAGAATAAAGGTGAGGATGTGTCTGGGAGTTATAATACGGTAATTTGCACGCGTGTATACTCGTACCACTATGCAAATGCAGGTGAGGACCATTGTGAAAACTCCCAATTACACATTATGAACTTTCCACCGCCAGACAACCGTGAAAAGAAAGCAAATGCCTCATGCGACAAACTTCGCCCGATAAATTACCACTCAATCTCCTTAAATAGCACTACAAATAGATTCCGCGATATTAATACTAAATCATACTTAAGATGAACAACGCTGCGCAAGATGAGTATTGTGGTATCCTTTACTCACATTTGTTTTCGCCTCCCATGTTTGCGCCATTTTCAACCAGCAGTCGCATGGCGTTATCGCATTGACATTTACAGGCGATGTGGAGCGGGGTCAAGTTATCCTGGTTAATTCCATACAAAATGTGTCGTGTGTATTAAATCAAGTACATCAGCCACTTGAAGAGCCGTATTACTTATTCCAATTGATTCGCAAATATAGAAGTACTTCAAACAGTTATTGTTGACATTTCCAGTTGCACTATACAAACAGGCGTAGCTGATGTCGGTATCTAATTTTAAATTGACGCAAGATAATTATAAATTTCATGAATTTTGAATTCGTAAAATACGTGATTGCCTCATCAAACTCTGAAAAGATTTTCGATGAATTAGAACGCACGCAGTTTTAAGGTTCCATTCACCCAATGTATAAAGGCACATGGTCACGTCAAAGACAATCCCCTCAGAACAGATGAGAATGATACGAGAACAAGCAACACGCGGAAATAGACCGATTATCTGGCAAACACCACCTTACAGACAGCTACAGTTACACTTGACAGTCAGCATACCGACACAATATTAAACAGCACAAATAAATAGAAAGGAAGACAGCACAATAAATATCAAAAAAATAAAAGATCGACGCGCATTCAACTTTGCTTGATTTCTTGATGCATGTGAGTTGTATGATACGTAATAGTACATCGGCCATTAGTGCAGCGTAGCAAATACCACACTTACATATGTTCAGTATTCAATCACAATGGTTACCCGTTGTGAAGAGACAACGAGGATAAAAAGTCGTGCAAAATTGAACCGGCTTCGGAGGGTAACAAATTCGGTATTATCACTACAGAACAGCTGCATTGCAATCACCGAGCTTGAACTGTGGTAAACACGCTATATGCACTTCAAGAATTGTATCATTGAACAAACATATTCAAATAAAGTTCATTGTCTCACGTAAGTCGACACATGCATCACTAATTCAGTAGTAGACGTCAGCGGATTGCACCGTTAAGATTCACCACAGCAAAGTTAAATGGATACGTACATATGAAAAACAGTGGGTGTAGTCGGCACCAATTTTTCTTCGTAAGTATTTACTATATGAGAAACGAATTGGCAGAAGCATGAGATCGGCTGTGATGATGCAGATGTAGCTGTACTTAGTTAAAAATTCTTTTCAGTGAATATGCTTGCCTTTCAATGCCACATGTACTGATAAAGAAAACGTGGAAGACAAGCACAACACCTAAGAATCAGAAACATCAGGTCTTTGTTTAAACATGTACACAGTCATGCAAGTCTGCCGCAAACACAGCACACTCCCTATTCCTAAACTCTATATGCTATCATATACATAGCCTCAAATGATGGTAAAAGCAGTTAAGAAATGTGCGGCTTACCCGAGCCTGCGCCTCGATACTGGCACCATTCCTAAGCAGAAGCTTCATGATCTCATCGTTCGCATAAGATTTGAAACAGAGAATGTGAAGTGCAGTCATACCATACTGCGAAGATCATTCGGAGTAATCTATGTCAGTCATCAACTATCTCGTGTATATCTTGACTTTATCCTATATACACGACTTTGTTTTGAAGTAGAACATTGTATGGAATAGCTACAATGACGCTCATCCCACGTGTATATCCCCAAGGCTGTGTTGATTATAGTAAGTGCCAAGGAAGCCATAACCAGGTATAGCCCAAGAGCCTGCCATTTGAAACCAAGATACGACGCTCGATAAGCGGGACATTGCAAAAACAAGTAAGTCTCCCTTGCCATGTTGTGAAATACTGCTAAACATTCAGAGATGATATCCCAAAAACACCTCAGATTTGAGAAGTACGATCAATCCACTCACAGATTGACAATTGTGACGGCCACGTATATTAAACTACAGGTGCCAGGCAGCCATACACTTCTGAAATGCTCGAAATCACTATAGATTTCATTTTGGCAGCCACACACTTCGTAAATGTATAAAATATAACTATGGATTTCACACGAACAGCATGATTTCAGAATATGCAGGTTAAAACAAGATAGATTGTAACCATGTACTAGAAGATTCGACATTGCGTGGAATACAAGTTTCATCTGTAATAGTATTGTTCATATATTGACAAGTACTTACACTACCAGACAAAAGCTTAGTGAGTTTGAAATAAATGTGCATAAAGCAATAGCTGTTGAAATACACACGTGTACAGCTAAATCGATACTAGAGTGTGAGATAACCACGCGCAATTTAAAGCTGTGCTGATAGCTAGGAACGGCGACACGTATAATATATCCACTATACAGTCACAGAACGACGCGAAAACACAGCCAGTTCATTCATTATAGCACATAACATAACTATGGGAGTATCTTATTCTTTGCAGAATCACCATATCAAAAATAGTGCACTTGATGCAAACGAAGGCTTCCCGTAGCACTTGGTGGTAGCGGGGAGCTCTGAGCCCATTTACTCTTCACGAACATAATAGCAACTCCCAAACACGCGAGTATTGACTCACTGCAGCTGTGGCCTCAATCTCAGCATCCCAGTCGAGCAGCAGCTGCACAAATTACACAGAGGATTGCGATGAGCAGGCAGCGTGCAGTGGATACTTGAACTAGTACAAGTATAAAGAACGGAAAGAGTAATTTCAGCGCTCTCCAGTGTGCTATAATATATATATAAATGTATATAGAAAAAGGATGCAGGGCAGAGATCGACCAGCAGATGGTACTTTATCAGGATTCTGTGCATTTTCCAAGTAGTATCGATTGTAAACACTGTTTTAGGTGACAACCTATAGTAAACTGAAAATAATACACACTAGAATATGGCAGTCATATTGAAAGACAAAAAGCACATTTGAGAGCAGTAATTGCTGTAAAGCAACACCACTACCGCATGCCAACACCAAGGGCATTTTCGTTCAGACTCAAATATCATATTCCATTTGTGTAGAGTACGAGTTCTGATATTCTGTCTATCATTCGTATCAACACACAAGCTCTGCTAATCAAATAAGCTTATGGAGGGCAAAACATGTACAAGCAGTAAGCAGTCTACTAGAAACAAGTCGGACAAGTGGCATGATACGATATCGGGAAGAATGAAGATGAACATCAGATAGAGCTGCGGATATGCACGAATCTTGAAAGACAACAAAACAGATGTATGTCATGTTTCTATGTCATGTGTTAAGTAACTTGCTCAAGTTATGTGTCTATATTATAATGTATGTTTAAACAGGTCACGATTTTAAGCAGATGACTAATTAACCACACACTTGATCACACTCATCGGCCAAGCTCACATCGGCGCCTGCCTCCAGAAGCTTTCGCACCCCATCTACATCTCCTTTGCGGCATAAATTGTGTATGGGAGCCATTGCGATAGAATGCAGCTTTAGAAGAACTTTATTCATGCAATACAAAAGAATATGGTCTTATATATTTACAAGCCATCGTTCGACGCAAACCAGTATGTTTAAGTTCCAAAAAGTGTCTAAAACTCCCTGTTGCCAAGAAAATTCGTAGCACGATACCATAGGCAAACATTGTGTGATCCGATGTTCGTCAAACACAGGCATCTAACATAAATTTTAGATCCGTTGTACACCCCATGATATGTGCTATTTCTGCTGAATAGTAAGCAATAGTTAGACCTCGTCTTTCCCAAGATAACGTGACACAGGGCCATACTGACAACTATAGTTGTAGGTTGTTTAATCGTTCATTTATAAGTTGTCAACTGCCTCTCTGTTTACTCTCCAGAGAGCGCTAGATTGTGTACTAACGTTTCAGAACGTCAACTCAGCTGTATTCACCAGAGAACTGTACACATTACACGTATTCACCAGATAACTGTACACACTACACGTATTCATCAGAGAACTGTACACATGACACGTATTCACCAGAGAACTGTACACATTACACGTATTCATCATAGAACTGTACACATTACACGTATTCACCAGAGAACTGTACACATTGCACGTATTCATCAGAGAACTGTACACACTAGTCACACGTAAAAC